CGCCACATTGCCACGAGTGCCCTTGGGTCAGAGGGAAAACGTAAAATTCAATGGCAGTGTCAGCCCTATTAGTAGCATTGTGGGAAAATTCCACTACCAATCCTTCTTCACCTTAAACAAAATAGGGTGAATACATCTCATACCACTAATTTATCAGCCTAACTTACAAACTAAATGGCCTCCACAGGGGCTCTGCATCAATGTCTGAGTCAGCCCTACATATCAGTGACTCATACATAGGTCCAGTGAGCAAATGCCCAGACAATCGTATAATCGTTTAGTGCCAGGTTTCTAGAGGAAAAATGAAAATTATAGTGGTGGGGTAAAAGAACAAGTGAAGAAGTATAAAAACTATAACAAGGGCAAAAAGAAGAGTCAAAGGGACTTGGCATTGAAGCAGCTGACTATTTTTTTAATCGCGCTAAAGCTTAATCTTAGGCCAAATGCATATAAGCTATAAAAAAAATCAGACCAATGAATCAGGTGGGTCGAAAAATACCAGAATGCAGAAGAATCGTAACAGCAACGAACTGGCGGAAGAGAAGAGCTCAAGATGAAAAAAATGTTTGTTGATGTGACTTAAATGACAGGAATTAGTTCGAGGCCCTTTTACACAGAAGTATTTGACCTAATCGACTTGCCCTCAATAATAAAAGCATGAGACTTATTAGTTGCTTTTATCCCGTTTGCTGAATACGGCTTGCCATCTAATATATTGCCATTAAATATTAGTCAGTAACGAATTGTAATCAATATCAAATTCATAGTTCCCTAGAACAGAGCTGTAGTGCTAAAGACCATCGTTAGATATTTATCTAAGCTAATAAGTAAGAACACGGTGGAATAATGAATGTATTGTGCCTCAAGGATACAGGAATACAAGGATAGGAACATCAAGGAGCTGTGCATATTATTCATAGTCCTATTTTGTGGCGCGGAGTTAGTTTGACAACCATAGTAAATTAGCCATGTTTATAGAGACTTAGAATAAAGAGCATTTTCAAACAGTCAAAATTGCAGTAGTCATCATGAATATATGACATATTGAGCATCAGGCCAGATTATTCGACATAAAATTTTGTTAAGTAAAGGTGGGGCACTGTTTTTTCTTGAATGAAACAGCATTCGTGCTGTTATGCGTAAAGAACCCATTGCATCACAAGCTTATGGAAAAGTGTACACTTAAATTTCCAATATTTATCGAAAGTTGGAATAAAGTTGCTTAAGACAGAGGAATTGCAACAAATTTATTGAGGTGAAAATCACTTAGCACATACGACTCAAAATTTGTTTAGGTAAAAATGGACGATGTCAGAACAGGGGAAATTAGTAGTAAATGCAAAAGACTTCGACTCGATTTTGTTTTGGCTGATATTTTCTCAGGTACTAGCATGGAAATTAAGGATAAATCCAAACTGTGATCCCCTAGGTCAAAATCAAAAGCTCTAACGACAAACCACCCTCCTGGCCATATAATGGATATAATTTATAAGCACATTATTAAGTCTAAATGCGATTATGTTTGTAGAGCAAAAACCTTTAAGTAATCAGGTGTGGCGGCATAAAGACAGATTCCGTCCGGATGAAATACAATTCTCCTGACTGTGCTGGCCGCCAGCTCAATACCACTCACAGCCACTTGGGTAAATGTTTCAAGATCAAAGATACGCACAGTACGATCGGATGCAACGGTAGCGAGCAGAAGAACTGTGGGATGGAAAGCCAAGCCAGTCACGGAACCAACGTGGCCAGTTAATTCAGACAGTTGTTTACCAGCATGCAGGTCCCATAGCTGGAGAGAAAAGCAAAAAATAGACATACAAACGAATCTATGAATATGTTTAGAAAGATAGATGAAGAAAAAACGAATGACTTCAAGATGATAAGGGTTACAATCGCCCACAATGTGATCAGTCACTACATATTTTAAAAAGT